ACCCTAACCCTAACCCTAACCCTAACCCTAACCCTAACCCTAACCCTAACCCTAACCCTAACCCTAACCCTAACCCTAACCCTAACCCTAACCCTAACCCTAACCCTAACCCTAACCCTAACCCTAACCCTAACCCTAACCCTAACCCTAACCCTAACCCTAACCCTAACCCTAACCCTAACCCTAACCCTAACCCTAACCCTAACCCTAACCCTAACCCTAACCCTAACCCTAACCCTAACCCTAACCCTAACCCTAACCCTAACCCTAACCCTAACCCTAACCCTAACCCTAACCCTAACCCTAACCCTAACCCTAACCCTAACCCTAACCCTAACCCTAACCCTAACCCTAACCCTAACCCTAACCCTAACCCTAACCCTAACCCTAACCCTAACCCTAACCCTAACCCTAACCCTAACCCTAACCCTAACCCTAACCCTAACCCTAACCCTAACCCTAACCCTAACCCTAACCCTAACCCTAACCCTAACCCTAACCCTAACCCTAACCCTAACCCTAACCCTAACCCTAACCCTAACCCTAACCCTAACCCTAACCCTAACCCTAACCCTAACCCTAACCCTAACCCTAACCCTAACCCTAACCCTAACCCTAACCCTAACCCTAACCCTAACCCTAACCCTAACCCTAACCCTAACCCTAACCCTAACCCTAACCCTAACCCTAACCCTAACCCTAACCCTAACCCTAACCCTAACCCTAACCCTAACCCTAACCCTAACCCTAACCCTAACCCTAACCCTAACCCTAACCCTAACCCTAACCCTAACCCTAACCCTAACCCTAACCCTAACCCTAACCCTAACCCTAACCCTAACCCTAACCCTAACCCTAACCCTAACCCTAACCCTAACCCTAACCCTAACCCTAACCCTAACCCTAACCCTAACCCTAACCCTAACCCTAACCCTAACCCTAACCCTAACCCTAACCCTAACCCTAACCCTAACCCTAACCCTAACCCTAACCCTAACCCTAACCCTAACCCTAACCCTAACCCTAACCCTAACCCTAACCCTAACCCTAACCCTAACCCTAACCCTAACCCTAACCCTAACCCTAACCCTAACCCTAACCCTAACCCTAACCCTAACCCTAACCCTAACCCTAACCCTAACCCTAACCCTAACCCTAACCCTAACCCTAACCCTAACCCTAACCCTAACCCTAACCCTAACCCTAACCCTAACCCTAACCCTAACCCTAACCCTAACCCTAACCCTAACCCTAACCCTAACCCTAACCCTAACCCTAACCCTAACCCTAACCCTAACCCTAACCCTAACCCTAACCCTAACCCTAACCCTAACCCTAACCCTAACCCTAACCCTAACCCTAACCCTAACCCTAACCCTAACCCTAACCCTAACCCTAACCCTAACCCTAACCCTAACCCTAACCCTAACCCTAACCCTAACCCTAACCCTAACCCTAACCCTAACCCTAACCCTAACCCTAACCCTAACCCTAACCCTAACCCTAACCCTAACCCTAACCCTAACCCTAACCCTAACCCTAACCCTAACCCTAACCCTAACCCTAACCCTAACCCTAACCCTAACCCTAACCCTAACCCTAACCCTAACCCTAACCCTAACCCTAACCCTAACCCTAACCCTAACCCTAACCCTAACCCTAACCCTAACCCTAACCCTAACCCTAACCCTAACCCTAACCCTAACCCTAACCCTAACCCTAACCCTAACCCTAACCCTAACCCTAACCCTAACCCTAACCCTAACCCTAACCCTAACCCTAACCCTAACCCTAACCCTAACCCTAACCCTAACCCTAACCCTAACCCTAACCCTAACCCTAACCCTAACCCTAACCCTAACCCTAACCCTAACCCTAACCCTAACCCTAACCCTAACCCTAACCCTAACCCTAACCCTAACCCTAACCCTAACCCTAACCCTAACCCTAACCCTAACCCTAACCCTAACCCTAACCCTAACCCTAACCCTAACCCTAACCCTAACCCTAACCCTAACCCTAACCCTAACCCTAACCCTAACCCTAACCCTAACCCTAACCCTAACCCTAACCCTAACCCTAACCCTAACCCTAACCCTAACCCTAACCCTAACCCTAACCCTAACCCTAACCCTAACCCTAACCCTAACCCTAACCCTAACCCTAATCCCCAGTGTCTAAGTCCTAACCCCCAGTGTCTAAGTCTAAGTCTAACCCCCAGTGTCTAAGTCTAAGTGTAATCCCCAGTGTCTAAGTCTAACCCCCAGTGTCTAAGTCTAAGTCTAATCCCCAGTGTCTAAGTCTAACCCCCAGTGTCTATGTCTAAGTCTAATCCCCAGTGTCTAAGTCTAACCCCCAGTGTCTAAGTCTAACCCTAACCCCCAGTGTCTAAGTCTAAGTCTAATCCCCAGTGTCTAAGTCTAACCCCCAGTGTCTAAGTCTAAGTCTAATCCCCAGTGTCTAAGTCTAAGTCTAATCCCCAGTGTCTAAGTCTAACCCCCAGTGTCTAAGTCTAAGTCTAACCCCCAGTGTCTAAGTCTAAGTGTAATCCCCAGTGTCTAAGTCTAACCCCCAGTGTCTAAGTCTAAGTCTAATCCCCAGTGTCTAAGTCTAACCCCCAGTGTCTATGTCTAAGTCTAATCCCCAGTGTCTAAGTCTAACCCCCAGTGTCTAAGTCTAACCCTAACCCCCAGTGTCTAAGTCTAAGTCTAATCCCCAGTGTCTAAGTCTAACCCCCAGTGTCTAAGTCTAAGTCTAATCCCCAGTGTCTAAGTCTAAGTCTAATCCCCAGTGTCTAAGTCTAACCCCCAGTGTCTAAGTCTAAGTCTAACCCCCAGTGTCTAAGTCTAAGTGTAATCCCCAGTGTCTAAGTCTAACCCCCAGTGTCTAAGTCTAACCCTAATCCCCAGTGTCTAAGTCTAACCCCCAGTGTCTAAGTCTAAGTCTAATCCCCAGTGTCTAAGTCTAACCCCCAGTGTCTAAGTCTAAGTCTAATCCCCAGTGTCTAAGTCTAAGTCTAATCCCCAGTGTCTAAGTCTAATCCCCAGTGTCTAAGTCTAACCCCCAGTGTCTAAGTCTAAGTCTAATCCCCAGTGTCTAAGTCTAATCCCCAGTGTCTAAGTCTAACCCCCAGTGTCTAAGTCTAAGTCTAATCCCCAGTGTCTAAGTGTAATCCCCAGTGTCTAAGTCTAACCCCCAGTGTCTAAGTCTAAGTGTAATCCCCAGTGTCTAAGTCTAACCCCCAGTGTCTAAGTCTAAGTCTAATCCCCAGTGTCTAACCCTAACCCCCAGTGTCTAAGTCTAACCCCCAGTGTCTAAGTCTAACCCTAATCCCCAGTGTCTAAGTCTAAGTCTAACCCCCAGTGTCTAAGTCTAACCCCCAGTGTCTAAGTCTAACCCTAATCCCCAGTGTCTAAGTCTAACCCAAACCCCCAGTGTCTAAGTCTAAGTCTAATCCCCAGTGTCTAAGTCTAACCCCCAGTGTCTAAGTCTAAGTCTAATCCCCAGTGTCTAAGTCTAAGTCTAATCCCCAGTGTCTAAGTCTAACCCCCAGTGTCTAAGTCTAAGTCTAATCCCCAGTGTCTAAGTGTAATCCCCAGTGTCTAAGTCTAACCCCCAGTGTCTAAGTCTAAGTGTAATCCCCAGTGTCTAAGTCTAACCCCCAGTGTCTAAGTCTAAGTCTAATCCCCAGTGTCTAACCCTAACCCCCAGTGTCTAAGTCTAACCCCCAGTGTCTAAGTCTAAGTCTAACCCCCAGTGTCTAAGTCTAAGTCTAATCCCCAGTGTCTAAGTCTAACCCCCAGTGTCTAAGTCTAAGTCTAATCCCCAGTGTCTAAGTCTAACCCCCAGTGTCTAAGTCTAAGTCTAATCCCCAGTGTCTAAGTCTAAGTCTAATCCCCAGTGTCTAAGTCTAACCCCCAGTGTCTAAGTCTAAGTCTAATCCCCAGTGTCTAAGTGTAATCCCCAGTGTCTAAGTCTAACCCCCAGTGTCTAAGTCTAAGTCTAACCCCCAGTGTCTAAGTCTAACCCCCAGTGTCTAAGTCTAAGTCTAATCCCCAGTGTCTAACCCTAACCCCCAGTGTCTAAGTCTAACCCCCAGTGTCTAAGTCTAACCCTAATCCCCAGTGTCTAAGTCTAACCCTAACCCCCAGTGTCTAAGTCTAACCCTAATCCCCAGTGTCTAAGTCTAACCCCCAGTGTCTAAGTCTAAGTCTAATCCCCAGTGTCTAAGTCTAAGTCTAACCCCCAGTGTCTAAGTCTAAGTCTAAGTCTAATCCCCAGTGTCTAAGTCTAACCCCCAGTGTCTAAGTCTAACCCCCAGTGTCTAAGTCTAAGTGTAATCCCCAGTGTCTAAGTCTAACCCCCAGTGTCTAAGTCTAACCCTAACCCCCAGTGTCTAAGTCTAACCCCCAGTGTCTAAGTCTAAGTCTAATCCCCAGTGTCTAAGTCTAACCCTCTAACCCCCAGTGTCTAAGTCTAATCCCCAGTGTCTAAGTCTAAGTCTAAGTCTAATCCCCAGTGTCTAAGTCTAATCCCCAGTGTCTAAGTCTAAGTCTAACCCCCAGTGTCTAAGTCCAAGTCTAATCCCCAGTGTCTAAGTCTAAGTCTAAGTCTAATCCCCAGTGTCTAAGTCTAACCCCCAGTGTCTAAGTCTAACCCCCAGTGTCTAAGTCTAACCCTAACCCCCAGTGTCTAAGTCTAACCCCCAGTGTCTAAGTCTAAGTCTAATCCCCAGTGTCTAAGTCTAATCCCCAGTGTCTAAGTCTAAGTCTAACCCCCAGTGTCTAAGTCTAAGTCTAACCCCCAGTGTCTAAGTCTAAGTCTAAGTCTAATCCCCAGTGTCTAAGTCTAAGTCTACCACCCTCCACACCTACCTTTCTCACCTACCTTCCAGTGTCCTTCCAGTCGTTGCCATGACAAAGCAAGACACACAACATACGTGCATTGTTTAACTGTTTGTTTATTACAGTGCTGTTTCCGCAAGGCAGGACTCATACAATCATATACATACGCGCTATACCAGCAACGACACATTGAGAAGCAGAACATGTAATGAATATGGGTCTCTGATTCCAAGACTTAGTTTATAGGCGCAGCATCCACACATTCTGTACATGGCACAACTCAGTTTACAGGCGCAACTTAACACATATTGCATACATGGCACGACGCAATTTACAGGCGCAGCACACGCATACGCAGTACACTTTAAGACATGGTTCGCATAGATGTCAGACCAACCAGAGAAAGGGTACAAAGCCTCCACAACCCATTAGTGACACCACACTTGTGAGAATGTTGCATACTGCAACCCACCTCAAAAGCAGTGCAGATCTCAGCCCACCCAAAGACATTGCAATTCTCAGAACGGCCACAAAGGGGCGCGAGTCTCAGACTGGCCGGAAGGAACAAAACTGCCTCCAACGGCCCTTGGTTACGGGGTTGGGTTAGCCCTGCCTAGGAGCAAACAAAGCAAGGCTAGCCCAACCCCGTAACCAAGGCAAAGCTAAAGCCAATTTGGCTTACATTAATTGAATGTAAAGCTAAAGCCAATTTGGTTGAAGCCAATTGAATGTAAAGCTAAAGCCAATTTGGTTGAAGTCAATTGAATGCAAGGCTAAAGCCAATTTGGTTGATGCAAAATGATTGCAAGGCTAAAGCCAATTTGGTTGAGATAAATTGAACGCAGATGCTGAAATCAGCGCAACTCTCAAAATGGCCGCAATGGGGCGCGAGTCTCAGACTGGCCGGAAGGAACAAAATCGCCTCCGACGGCCCTTGGTTACGGGGTTGGGTTAGCCCTGCCTAGGAGCAAACAAAGCAAGGCTAGCCCAACCCCGTAACCAAGGCAAAGCTAAAGCCAATTTGGCTTACATTAATTGGATGTAAAGCTAAAGCCAATTTGGATGAAGTCAATTGAATGTAAAGCTAAAGCCAATTTGGTTGAAGCCAATTGAATGCAAGGCTAAAGCCAATTTGGTTGAAGCCAATTGAATGCAAGGCTAAAGCCAATTTGGTTTACATTAATTGAATGTAAAGCTAAAGCCAATTTGGTTGAAGCCAATTGAATGTAAAGCTAAAGCCAATTTGGTTGAAGTCAATCGAATGCAAACCCAAAGCCAATTTGGTTGAAGCCAATTGAATGCAAAGCCAAAGCCAATTTGGTTGATGCAAAATGATTGCAAGGCTAAAGCCAATTTGGTTGAGATAAATTGAATGCAGATGCTGAAATCAGCGCAACTCTCAAAATGGCCGCAATGGGGCGCGAGTCTCAGACTGGCCGGGAAGGAACAAAATCGCCTCCAACGGCCCTTGGTTACGGGGTTGGGTTAGCCCTGCCTAGGAGCAAACAAAGCAAGGCTAGCCCAACCCCGTAACCAAGGCAAAGCTAAAGCCAATTTGGCTTACATTAATTGAATGTAAAGCTAAAGCCAATTTGGTTGAAGCCAATTGAATGTAAAGCTAAAGCCAATTTGGTTGAAGTCAATTGAATGCAAGGCTAAAGCCAATTTGGTTGAAGTCAATTGAATGCAAGGCTAAAGGCAATTTGGTTGATGCAAAATGATTGCAAGGCTAAAGCCAATTTGGTTGAGATAAATTGAACGCAGATGCTGAAATCAGCGCAACTCTCAAAATGGCCGCAATGGGGCGCGAGTCTCAGACTGGCCGGAAGGAACAAAATCGCCTCCAACGGCCCTTGGTTACGGGGTTGGGTTAGCCCTGCCTAGGAGCAAACAAAGCAAGGCTAGCCCAACCCCGTAACCAAGGCAAAGCTAAAGCCAATTTGGCTTACATTAATTGGATGTAAAGCTAAAGTCAATTTGGTTGAAGCCAATTGAATGTAAAACTAAAGCCAATTTGGTTGAAGTCAATTGAATGTAAAACTAAAGCCAATTTGGTTGAAGCCAATTGAATGTAAAGCTAAAGCCAATTTGGTTGAAGTCAATTGAATGCACATGCTGAAATCAGCACAACTCTCAAAATGGCCACAAAGGGGCACGAGTCTGAAAATGGCCTGGAAGGAACGCAGATGGCATCAGAAGGAAGCGTTGATTGGCCTGGGAGCAGAAGGGCCCTCAGGAAGGGTGCGGGTGGGTTGGATCGCTGGGCTGAGGCCGATGGGATGAACTGCAATGAGACCGAGCGCCGCATCCCACACGCTGCCTGCGATGACCTTGGTAGGGGCTTGTGGCAGAGTGACGGGAAGATCATGGAAAGGAAACGGAGCGGGGATTCGGGTAACGGTTGACCGAACCGAGCTGGCGGTGAGTGTGGGAGGCCTGGAAAGCCAATGGCGTCGCAGGGGGGAAGTCATCGACTGGAAGCGTCGAAGGCATCTTCACCTGTAATACAGAGACACGCTTTAGAAGGAGGAACGCCGAGACCCAAACTGTGCTCACCGTCAGCCCACCCCCACAAAACGTGGAAGCCAAACACCGCTCCAAGAAATGGCTTCAGAGTAAGGTTAGGAGTATTTAACAGGAAAGGTGTTAGGGTTAGCTACATCAGGATTAGGGTTAGAGTGACCGTTAGGGAAGGCCAAGGCAAAGGCAGGAGCAAAAGGCAAGGAGAACAGCCGAGGGAACGCCAAAACAGAGGGCAAAGGGATGGGAAAGACATGGAGAACGCCAAAGGTCGCGTCAGAGGTCAGGCCCAAGGAGAAGGCCGCAGAGAACGCCAGAATGGAGACCAAAGAGATCAACGCAGAAGGCCAAAATGGAGGGCGAGGTCCGTGAGAACGCTGCAGGGAAGGCCGATGCAGAAGGTCAAGGGCAATGGCCAAAGAGAATGCGGCACAAAAGGCCAAAACCAAAGGCAAAGAGAATGCTGTAGGAGAAGACAAAACAAGAGGCCAAAGGGAATGTGGCAAAGAAGGCAGGGAGTAATGGCCAAAAAGAACATGGAAGGGAACGCCAAAATAGAAGCCAAAGAGAACGCCGCAGGGAACGCCAGAACAGGAGGCCAAAGGAAATGGGGCAAAGAAGGCCGAGGGCAACGGCCAAAGAGAACGCAGCCAGGAACGCCAGAACTGAAGGCCAAAATAATGCTGTAGGGAACGCCAGAACGGGAGGGAAAGTGAACGTGGCAAAGAAGGCCAAGGACAAAGGCCAAGGGAATGTGGCACAGATGGCCAAAGCCGAAGGCCAAAGAAAACGCAGTGAAGGTGGCCAAGGGCAAATGGCCAAGAGAATGCCACAGGGAACGCCAAAACAGGAGGGCAAGAGAACGCAGCAGGGAAAGCCAAGGGCAAGGAGAACGCTGCAGTGAAAGGCTGGAGGCGAGGAGAACACAGAAAGAAAAGGACAGGCAGCATCCAGGGCACCGTGAAGTGCAGAAATGAGCTCTGGGAACCCTACCTTGTGCCTCGCTAAGTAATGAGTAAACACCGGTGGGTGAGCATCGCCCTTACCTGCTGGGCAGACAATTACCGGCCAGCAAAGCGGGGTTCCGGGCACCCCAGGAAATGCAGATTCCGGTTCCTTGCTGCTGCCTGAAGAGCCGCGCATCTCCGTGCTGTCCTTACAGCGCTCAGGAGCAACGCAACTCTGCTGCCACCTGTGGGACACAACGCAGTAATGAAGGCGCTGCCCCGCATGTGTGGGGCTGCACCCTGAGCACAATGCTGTAATGATGACACAAGGGTTGTAATTAATTATAATTAACGTTAGGGATAGAATTAATGGTATTGATAGGGTTGAAGTTACAGATGGTCTAACATCAGTATTCTGCACTACAATTAGGGTTATTTGACAAAACATGGGGCATTATTTTTACAGCAGCATTCAGGGTAAGAGACATTTTCAACACTGGGTCAAGGGTTTGGTCTACAGATACGCTGCAGGTTAACACAGTTATCGTTAGAACTCCCATTCAGCTGTGGGTTTAGGTCGAGGGTAACATTAATGCTGCCTCCCAGCTCATCCTAGAGTGCCAAAGGCAAAGGGAAGCAGGACACCCATGGCAGGCAAAGGAAAGCAGAACTCCCGTGGAAAGCCAAGGTAAATGCAAAGCAAACAGCCAAGCTAAGGCAAGGGCAAAAGCAAAGAGAGCACCAATGGAAAGCCAAGGGGAGGGCAAAGAGAACGCAACAGGAAAGGCCAAGGGCAACGGCCAAAAGAACGCAGCACAAAATGCCAAAACAGAAGGCCAAGGGAACACGGCATGGAATGCCCAGGAAAGGGCTAAGAAAACATGGCAGGAAGTGCCAGAACAGGAGGGCAAGAGAACGTTGCCGGGAACGCCAAAATCAAATGGTGAAGAGAATGTGGCTACAGAAAGCCAAGGGCAATGGCCAAGAGAACATAGCATGGGACACAATAACAGGGGGGCAAGGGAATGCCCAGACAAGGGCAAGGGCCAAGAGAACGTGGAAGGAAATGCCAAGGATGATGGCCAAGAGAACACGGCAAGAAACGCCAAAACAGGAGGGCAGGAGAACGCAGCAGGGAACGCCAAAACTGAATGCTGAAGTGAATATGGCAAAGAAAGCCAAGGGCAATGGCCAAGAGAACCCAGCGTGGAACACAAAAACAGGAGGACAAGAGGATGCCTAACCAATGGCAACGGCTAAGAGAACATGGAAGGAAATGCCAGAACAGGAGGGCGAGAGAACACGGCACGGAACGCCAAAACTGAATGCTGAAGTGAATGCGGCAAAGAAAGGCAAGGGCAGCGGCCAGGAGAACGTGGCATGGAACACAAAAACAGGAGGGCAAGAGAATGGAGCAGGGAACAGCAAGGGCAAAGGGAATGAAAACACTGCAGTGAAAGGCCGGAGACAAGGAGAACACAGAAAGAAAAGGACAGGCAGCATCCAGGGCACCACAAAGTGCAATGAAGAGCTGTGGGAGCACCGTGCTGTGCTATGCTAGGGAATGGGTAAACACTGGTGGGTGTGCATTGCCCTTACCTGCTGGGCAGACAATTACCAGCCAGCAAAGTGGGGTTCCGGGCATTCCAGGAACTGCAGATTCCGGTTCCTTGCTGCTCCCATAAGAGCCATGCATCTCCATGCAGTCGTTACGGCACTCGGGAGCGCCGCAGCCTGCTGCCACCTGTGGGACACAACGCAGTAATGAAGGCGCTGCCCTGCAGATGTGCCTCTTTCACAAACCTGCACTCCTTTCTCTGATCAACGTGGCTGCACTCTGCGCACGATGCCGCTTACCAGCAGCACTGAGCTGGGAACAACAGACAAGGAGAAGGCTGAGGTACCCAACAACATCCATCTTCCATCTTCTCTGATAACTGCTCATTATACACTGCCCTCACCTTTGGTTTGGTAGGTGGGGATTCAGGAAGCAATGCCGGTCCCACAGACCCCTCCCTATCCCACACTGTGATGGGAGATCAGCTTCTGGACCACCTGAGGACCCGAGCATCCAGGAGTCTTTGGGTCCTGATGAGACGAGTCCCAGAGCTCTGAGGGAATTCAGTGCTGCAGTCACCGAGCCACTCTCAGTGGTATTTGAGAAGTCGAGGCAGTCAGGTGAAGTCCCTGGTGAGCAGAAAAAAGGTGACAGCACAGCTGTTACTGCAGATATAAAGTGTGACCCTGGGAACTGCCAACGTCAGTCTCACCTCTGTGCTGCAAAAAGTCATGGAGCAGATCCTCCTGGAAGGGACTCTGAGGCACGTTCCAGTGCGTCAGCACCCTCTGTATGAAAAGCTTCCTCCTAATAACCAACATAAACCTCCCCTGTCTCAGTTTAAAACCATTCCCCCTTGTCCTATCACGATCCACCCTCGTAAACAGCCATTCCCCTTCCTGCTGTTCCCCCCTTCAAGTACTGTGAGGCTGCAACGAGGTCTCCCCCAAGCCTTCTCTTCTCCAGGCTGAACAAGCCCACTTCCCTCAACCTTTCCTTGTAGGAGAGCTGCTCCAACCATCTGATCATCTCAGTGCCTCCTCTGGACCCGCTCCGTGAGCTCCACGTCCTTCCTGTGCTGGGGGCCCCAGGCCTGGATGCAGCGCTGCAGATGGGGCCTCACAACAGCAGAGTAGATGGGGACGATCGCCTCCCTCTCCCTTCTAGCCGCTCCTCTTTTAATGCAGCCCAGAACACAGCTGGCCTTCCAGGCTGCAAGCCCGCTCTGCTGGCTGACGTCCAGCTTCTCACCCACCAGGATCTGCAAATCCTTCTCTGTGGGGCTGCTCTCAAGGTGTTCTTTGCTGAGTTTGCACAAACATCTGGAATTGCCTCTTCATCAGCGACATTGACAATAGGGTGGAGTGCACCCTAATGACACCGAGCTGTGGGGTGCGGTGACACACCAGAGGGACGGGATGCCATCCAGAGGGACCTCAACAGGCTGAGTAGTGGCACTCAGCAACGCGCCTTCCAGCCCAGAAAGCCAACCGTATGCTGGGCTCCATCCAAAGATGTGCGGTCAGCAGGCGAAGGGAGGCGGTCCTGCCCCTCTGCTCTGCGCTGGGAGGCCTCACCTGGAGGTGCTGTGTGTGGATGTGGATGCCTGCAGAGCAGGACAGACGTGGAGCTGTTGGAGCACATCCAGAGAATGGCCACAGATATGAACCGAGGGATGGAACGCCTTTCCTATAAAGACAGAGAGCTGGAGCTGTTCAGCCTGCAGAAGTGAAGGCTCCGAGGTGATCTGGTAACAGCCTTTCAACACCTGAAGGGAAGAACAAGGAAAGATTTAGCCTAGATATGAAGAAAATCTTGTACAGTGATGGTGGTGACACAGCAGAACAGATTACCCAGACATGATGGATGCCCTGTCCCTTCCAAGGTGAGGAATTGGGGTTTGGGTGTCGTACAGATTAGGAAACTGACAGCATCTCCAGACAATTAGGATGGAGATATCTGGGGTGAGGCTGAGTACAGCGGTCCAGAAGAGGACAAACCTTGGCTTCCTATAAAGATGAAGACTTATTACACCTAAGGGTGCACAGAATGCCCTTAAACAACTCTGCACGGTTGGAAGCAGTGCATAACAGCCCTGAAATAAAGGAAGAAGAAGTTACTCCATTCCAAAGATGAGCACTCAGCCCACACTGCCAGGGAAGCAGTCTCCAGGTAGAGATGCTGCCCTTATGGCTTCCACCCCTTAAATGGGGTCAGGATACTAAATTATAATAATAAAAAAAGAAAAGAAAAAATGGAGATTGCAGCCTGAAATAAAGAAAAAACAAAGAAACCACTTACACCCTTCTCAAAGGCCAAAACTCACCCATGCTCCACAGGAGACAGCCTCCAGAGATCAACGCTGCCCTTACATCTGCCAGCACTCAAATGTGGTCAGGATGCCCCAAAAACAGGAAAGATCACAGCCCTAAAACAAGAAGGAATCACTCATCCTTTCTCAAGGACCAGCCCTCACCCCACGCTCCCAAAGAGACAGTCTCTAAAGACAGATACCACCTTAAAGGCTGCCAGCCCTTAAGTGGGGTCAGGATCCCCCCAAAAACAAGATATTGCAACCCTGGAATAAAGACTCACTCACCCCGTTTCAAGGGTTCACCCCACACTCTAAAGGAAGCAGCCTCCAGGTGCAGTCGCTGCTCCTTCTACTGACAGACCTTAAATGTGGTCAGCAGCCCCCAGAAAGTGAAATTACAATCCAGCAATACAGAAAAAACCAATGACCCCATCCCAAAAACAAACACTCAGCCGACACCCCAGAGGAAGCAGCCTCCATGCAGAGATGCTGCCCTTACAGCTTCCAGCCCTTAAAAGCAGTCAGGATCCCCAAAAACAGAAAGACCAGAGCCCTACAACAAAGCACCAATCACTCACCCCATTCCAACGAGCAGAACTGGCTCCCAATGCTCCCATGGAGGCAGATCCCAAGCTGAATGCTGCCCTGGCTGTTCCCAGCCCTTAAATATGGGCAGGGAGGGGGTGGAGCCAAGCTCAGCCCTATCCGGTCCCACAGGTAAATTGCTTCCACCTGTGCTGGCAGGGCTGCCCACACCCCTCACCAGGTGCTCCATCACTGCTTCAGGCTGTAAACAACAACAAAAGACTAATTACAAGCAGGTGATTGGGTCTGCCTGTCCGGCAAGGGGAGTTTGATCAAAGGATGAGCAACAATGGCACGTGGATTTTGATTGAAGTCTGTCCTCAAAGGCATTGGGTAAAATTTCTAATAGATAGGGGAGCACAAATTTCAGTACTGATAGAGTGACACTGAGGGTAACACTGAGCTGACCCTGGGATGATGTGGGGGGTGATGCTGGGGGGTGATGTTGGAGCATCATGGGGGGGAAATCAGGGAGTGATGTTGGAGCGATACTGTTGGGGGGGGGTAGCGGAAACCCGAAGTCGTGGCTTGAAACAATGATTGAGAAGGGACAAACCATAGAAGCTCAGGTGCATGAAACGCACCTGAGTGATGGAAGGGGGTGGAGCCAGGCTCCACCCCCTCCTGGGTCTCATTTAAGCACTGGCATCAGAAGTGAGGGGGCTTTGGCTGGAGGTCTGTGCTTGCATGAGGTCTTCCAAAGGTAAGCAGGTTTTTGTTCTGTTTCTGTGTTTACGGCTGCTGTGTTTGAGCACATCCTCACTTACTACAGCTTGGGACTTTGCTTGTCTGCTACTGTTGATGCATTTTCCATAATGCTGCAGCATGACAGTAGGTAATTAATGGTAAGGGGGATTTCTACTTCATAGAAATCCCTGATATTCCCCTAAAATATCGCTTATTTTCATAGAAATCCCTGCTTTAAACCTGAAATGTTGCTTATTTTCATAGAAATCCCTGTTTTTAGCTCTAAAATATCACTTTTTTTCACAGAAATCCCTGATTTTCCTCTTAAATATCGTTTATTTTAACAGAAATGCCGGTTTTTAACCTTAAATATCGCTTATTTTTATAGAGATGCCTGTTTTTAACCAGAAAATATTGCTTATTTTCAAGAAAATCCCTGTTTTTCCCCATCAATATCGCTTATTTTCACAGAAATCCCTGTTTGTAACCTTAAATATCGCTTTTTTTCATAGAAATCACTGTTTTTAACCCTAAAATATCGCTTTTTTTCACAGAAATCCCTGTTTTTCCCCTAAAATATCGCTTATTTTCGTAGAAATCCCTGTTTTTCCACGTCAATATCGATTATTTTTATCAGAAATCCCTGTTTGTAACCTTAAATATCGATTATTTTCAAAGAAATCACTATTTTTAAGCCTAAAATATCGCTTATTCTTATAGAAATTCCTGTTTTTAACCCCAAAATGTCGCTTATTTTCACAGAAATCCCTTTTTTTCCACTTAATATATCGGTTATTTTCATAGAAATCCCTGTTTTTCTCCTAAAATCTCGCTTATTTTCATGGAAATCCCTGTTATTCCCCTTAAATATCGCTTATTTCCAAGAAATTTTTGTTTTTAACCTTAAATATCGCTGATTTTCACAGGAATCCCTGTTTTTCCTCTTAAATATCGCCTATTTTCACAGAAATTCCTGGTTTTTCCCCTTAAATATTGATTATTTGCATAGAAATTCCTGTTTCTTAACCAAAAATATCGCTTATTTTCATAGAAATCCCTGTTTTTACCCTAAAAATATCACTTATTTTCCTAGAAAACCCACTTTCTAACCCCAAAATAGCGTTTATTTTCATGGAAATCCCTGTTTTTCCCCTTAAATATCACTTATTTTCACAGAAATCCCTGTGTTTCCCCTAAAATATCGCTTATTTTCATAGAAATCCCTGTTTTCCCCCTCAACATCCCTTGTTTTCATAGAAAACCCTGTTTTCCCCTTCAACATCGCTTATTTTCAAAGATAACACTGTTTTTCCCCTTCAACATCGCTGATTTTCACAGAAATCCCTGTTTTTCCCGTGAAATATCGCTTATTTTCATAGAAATCCCTGTTTTTAACCACAAAATATCGCTTATTTACATAGAAATCCCTGTTTTTAACCCTAAATATCGCTTATTTTCCTAGAAATCCCTGATTTTAACCTAAAACACCGCTTATTATCATAGAAATCCCTGTTTTTCCCCTGAAATATCGCTTATTTTCATAGAAATCCCTGTTTTTAACCACAAACATCACTTATTTACATAGAAAACCCAGTTTCTAACATAAAACACCGCTTATTTTCACATAAATCCCTGTTTTTAACACTAAAATATCACTTATTTTTACAGAAATCCCTGTTTTTAATACAAAAATATCGCTTATTTTCATGGAAATCCCTGTTTTTTCCCCCAAAATTTTGCTTATTTTCATAGAAATCCCTGTTTTTCCCTTCAACATCGCTTATTTTGATAGAAATCCCTGTTTTTAAACTAAAATATCACTTATTTCAAAGAAAACCCTGTGTTTCCCTTTCATTATCGCTTATTTTCATAGAAATCTCTGTTTTTAACCATAAAATAATGCATATTTTCACAGAAATCCCTGTTTTTCCCATTAAATATTGCCTATTTTCATTGAAATCCCTGTTTTCCCTTCAACATCGCTTATCTTGAAAGAAATCCCTGTTTTTAACCTCAAACATCACTTATTTCCAAGAAATCCATGTTTTTAACCTTAAATATCGCTAATTTTTGTAGAAATCCCTGTTTTTCCCATTAAATATTGCCTATTTTCATAGAAATCCCTGTATTTCCCCTTAAATATCGCTTATTTTCATAGAAATTCCTGTTTTTTAACGAAAAATATCGCTTATTTTCATAGAAATCCCTGTTTTTCCCCTGAAATATCGCTTATTTTCATGGAAAACCATCTTTCTAACCCCAAAATATCGCTTATTTTCACAGAAATCCCTGTTTTTCCCCTAAAATATCACTTATTTTCATAGAAATCCCTGTTTTTAACCCTAAAATATTGCTTATTTTCACAGAAATCCCTGTTTTTAACGTAAAATATCACTTATTTTTATAGAAATCCCTGTTTTTAACCCCTAAAATATCGCTTATTTTCACAGAAATCCCTGATTTTAACCCCAAAATATCGCTTATTTTCATAGAAATCCCTGTTTTTCCCTTCAACATCACTTAGTTTCATAGAAATCCCTGTTTTTACCCCTAAATATCGCTTATTTTCCAACAAATCCCTGTTTTTAACACTGAAATATCGCTTATTTTCATGGAAATCCCTGTTTTTCCCCTAAAATATCTCATATTTTCATGGAAATCCCTGTTTTTCCCATTAAATATCGCTGATTTTCATAGAAATCCCTGTTTTTCCCCTTTAATATCGCTTATTTTGATGGAAATCCCTGTTTTTAACCCTAAAATATCGCATATTTTCATAGAAATCCCTGTGTATCCCCTAAAATATCGCTTATTGTCATAGAAATCCCTGTTTTTCCCCTAAAATATCGCTTATTTTCATGGACATCCCTGTTTTCCCCCTAAAATATCGCTTATTTTCATAGAAATCCCTGTTTTTAACCTCAAACATCACTTATTTTCATAGAAAGCCCTGTTTCTAACCTAAAACACCGACTTATTTTCACATAAATCCCTGTTTTTCCCCTCAAATATCGCTTTCTTTCATAGAAATCCCTGTTATTGGCACTGAAATATCGCTTATTTTCATAGAAATCCCTGTTTTTAACACTAAAATATCACTTATTTTCTTAGAAATCCCTGTTTTCCCCATCAACATCGCTTATTTTCATAGAAATCCCTGTTTTTAACCCTAAAATATCTCTTATTTTCATAGAAATCGCTGATTTTAACCCTAAAATATCGCTTATTTTTATAGAAATCCCTGTTTTTCCCATTAAATATCGCTTATATTCCTACAAATTCCCGTTTTTTAACGTAAAATATCGCTTAGTTTCATTGAAATTCCTGTTTTTCCCCTGAAATATCGCTTATTTTCATAGAAATCCCTGTTTTTAACCCCAAAATATCGCTTATTTTCACATAAATCCCTGTTTTTCCCCTGAAATATCGCTTATTTTCATAGAAATCCCTGTTTTTCTCCTAAAATATCCCTTATTTTCACGGAAATCCCTGTTTTTCCCCTTAAATATCGCTTATTTTCATAGAAATCCCTGTTTTTCCCTTCAACATCGCTTATTTTGATAGAAATCCCTGTTTTTAAACTAAAATATCACTTATTTTCATAGAAATCCCTGTGTTTCCCCTTCAATATCGCTTATTTTCATAGAAATCCCTGTTTTTCCCCTGAAATATCGCTTATTTTCATAGAAATCCCTGTTTTTCCCTTCAACATCGCTTATTTTCATAGAAATCCCTGTTTTTAACCCCAAAATATCGCTTATTTTCATAGAAATCCCTGTTTTTAACCCTAAAATATATGCTTATTTTCATAGAAATCCCTGTTTTTAATCCTAAAATATGCTTATTTTCACAGAAATCCCTGTTTTTCCCATTAAATATCGCTTATTTTCATAGAAATCCCTGTTTTCCCCTAAAATATCGCTTATTCTCATAGAAATCCCTGTTGTTAACCCTAAAATATCACTTATTTTCATGGAAATCCCTCTTTTTCCCCTTCAATATGACTAATTTTCATAGAAATCCCTGTTTTTCCCATTCAATATCGCTTATTTTCACAGAAATCCCTGTTTTCCTCTTCAACATCGCTTATCTTGAATGAAATCGCTGTTTTTCACCTCAAACATCACTTATTTCCAAGAAATCCA